CATTTCTATAATTTCCCACGATGAATTTTTAACAGTTAAATTCTTCTTACATTTTTCATTTTTATATTTTTGAATTCTTCTTTTTCTAGATTATTTCTAAACACTCGAATGCTTTTGAGAAAGGTCCCATATATGATTTTATGAAACCTGGTATTGGTAATGGTTTGATATCTGCTTCAGGTAAACTATAGAATTATACTTTTATCTTTTAATTGAAAGAATTATACTTAAATATATATTACTAACATAGAATTCTTTTTAAAAATAACCTAAAAATAATTGCTAATTAGAGACTTTTCTCTTTCTTTTCGCATATGACGTGTACACTAATGCATGAAGCATACATCTAAAACAGTTATTTTTTTCTATATCGAAACTTTTTAATATAAAAAAGAAAAATATACTATACTTGATTAAAACATATTTTTTATTTAAAGCATCAATATGGAACAAACATCGAAAATTGTTGAATCCAGTATTCAAAATACAAATTCTTTCTGACCATATGAGTAAGATAATAAAACAATCACACCGATTAACGAAAACTATTGAAAGTTATAATGAACAAAAAATAGACATACTACATTACACAAATCTTTTTACTTTGGATACGATATATGGTAAGATTTTGAAATATTTGAAGTTTAGGAAATTTCTTAAAAAACAAAAAAAATAAAAAAACTCCCTTATTATAAAAAATTTGTTAATATTTGTGTGAGAGTGAGAGAAAGACGAAGAGTGCGAGTGTATGGTGTGCGTGAAAACAATTGGTGAATGTGAAAGATGTGTAAGAGTATGCAACGATATCGGTATAAGTGTGAGTGCACGCAGCGATATCGGTATAAGTGTGAGTGCGCGTAGCGATATGGATATGAGTGTGAGTGCGCGCAGCGATATGGGTATAAGTGTGAGTGCATGCAGCAGTATGAATATGAGTGTGTCTAGTAAGAAAGAAAAGCGAGCGTGCACCCCGAAGTCTCTCGAATATTCCCGAACCGGAAATCGGGAAAAGGTCTTCTGTTTAATCGGTCGGGAATAGTCTGGAGATTTCGAGAATGATTGACGGAAGTGATTGGGACCATTGGTGGGGTGAATGTGTATATAAGCGCGGCGAAGAATGCGATCTTCGCCTTCTTGATTCGGTGCGACTATTTGTGAGTGAAAGAGTGTAATACGAGTGTACTTAAGATTTCTAACTATTGTTACTTTCTTTTCTTTTCTTTTCTATCTCTTTATTATTATATTAAACCTTAATAATTAAATATTTGTTCTATTATAATAAATATTTCTATTTTAAATTTAAATAAATCTTACATTTGTTTTCTTTTTGTATTGACAGATACAATGTTTGGTCGGGATTTTAATTTCCAAAATAATCCAGAATGTAGACTTCATGACAATATTTCAGAGTAATAATAATAATAATATTTAAAAATTTTTTTAAATATCGAATTTTATGACACATTTTGATTTCTTTCTGATTTTTATTTTTATTCAGATTAATAGGCATAATTACCCAAAGGATCTACAAATTCTGGTTGCATCCGGATATTATTTTCTACAATTTACCTATAGGAAAAAGATTTCGAGAAACTTTAGCACACTTGGATACATTAACCTGGAAGGTATAAATAAAGACAAAAATTATTTATTAAATTTATCACATTGTACATATATTATTTTATTACTGCATTAAAATATATATATATATATATATAACTCATTTGTTAAGATAATAAAGGAACAAAAAGAATCTATGCAAGAAAAGAAAATTAATGGCGAAATGAAAGAAAAAGATTCAAGTAAGAAAAACTATTCAATAATCTAATTCTATTTTTTAACAAATTGTTGCAATAAAATTTTCTTAACATGCTAAAAAGTATATTAATTATTTTTTTTAATAAAGCAATAGATACTTCTCTATTTCTTGACACGATATTCAAATCATTCTATGAGGGAAAAGAATATACGGAACAAGATATTCGAGACGAGATAAATACAATAGTTACAGCTGTAAGTAAGATTTTGCTACTTTAAACAAAACTTTGATTATAAGAAAAAGAAAAAGAAAAATTTTTATATTTTTTAGGGAAGTGATACAAGTTCTATTTCAATTACTTTTGTGTTGCTAATGTTAGCTATTTATCCAAACATTCAAGTACGTATGAGTAAAACTTAATTGCAATATTCACTGTCACTGTTTTTAAAAAACAACACATAATTTTATACTAAAGTTGAATCAAGTTTTCCACATCTTAAATTGCAGGAACAAGTATACGAAGAGCTCTATCAAATATATGGTTCTTCCGATCCAGTAGATGAAAATACTTCATATCAAGATACTAAGAATTTAAAATTTTTGGAAAGAGTGATCAAAGAGACTTTTCGTCTTCTCACACCTGTTCCTTTTATAGCACGAAGTGTATGTGAAGATATACAAGGTATTCATACACATACTGAATAAATATTTGTATATACAGGGTGATTCTTGTAACGGAGGCGGCTAATAA